GAGCTAACAGACAAGTTGTATGACCACTTGATGACTGGACAGATGTATCACATACCAATTGTACCGAAAGGTAAATGTCTCTCAGACTCAGTCATCTCAAAGATCAGAAAGCAAGTGGATGGACATAAGAGGAGCTTTTATCCAGAACTCCTGTATTCCATGACAGAAGATGCTGTTGGGAAATTCGTCCAGCAAATTCTTCTGCAAATGATCAAAGAAAAATCAGAGCAAGCAGTTGACAATGAAAATGCAGCAGGCGCTCTTCAAGACATCGAAAACCTTCTCACAGTAGGAATTCCACCACCAGAAGATACAAAGGCTGAATCGGAGTCCTCTCAAGACTCAGCGCCGCCCTCACACTCAAGTCATTTGTCACAACCTGGGGAACAACGTGAGGATGATATTGTTAATGAAAATGAGGATGAGAACGAACCTGCACAGGTTGATGAGAAGCATGAGGATGATCAAGTTACTGAAGAGTCATCCTACGAAGAAGACGACGAACCACCCCAAGCAGCACCTAAGTTGACTGAACACTCTTTTGAGACTCTGACAAACAGCTTCACCTTGGCGCTGCTTCTGAGGCTTTTATCAAAGTCCAAATCAGAGAACATCGACTTTAATGATGACACAGCGGAAATCCAGAAAAGGCTGTTATTCTTGGTGTGCCCTACAACTGATTCAGTGGACTGTGAACAAATGCTGATGGAAGACAACCTAAAAGACATCATCGAGGTCGTCGGAGAAAATTTCAAAAGCTTTGGCTCAGTGCACAAACTCCTGAACGCAGCCATGGCAACGGATGGCACAGATTTTGATGTGCTCATCTCATCTCTGAAACACAAGTTAAATGTTACAAAAAGGCCCAAAAAGAAGAGCAAAATAAGGAGATTTTTTTTTTCAGTTGGAAATCGGATGGAGAGGGCTGTCAGATTTTTGAGAAAAACCTTTGAGTTACTGCAGAGCTCCTAAGACCCATTTCAAAAAGAAAACTCATTTTCAATGCAGCATATCACACCTCCTTTCCAAATGACATCAGTAGATTTGGTAGAATGTGTGATTGGGAAGTTAGCTTTTACTTCTTTTTCAGTGTTTTAACCTCACCCTTCACCCTGGTCTGGTGTATGGTATTGAAATAATTATCATTACTATCAATACCTTTACCATTTTTCATCCAGTCTATGCGTTAATGTGTAAGCTGCCTCCCTCTGCTCCCTCTGGCCTTCTCTCCCTCTCTCTCTCTTGCCTTCTCTGTCTTTCACCCCCAACTGGCCGAGGCAGATGGCCGCCCACCCTGAGCCATAGTTCTGCTCGAGGTTTCTGCCTCTTAAAAGGCAGTTTTTCCTTGCCTGTGTCGCCTAGTGCTTGCTCTTGGTGGGAATTGTTGGAATTCTGTAAAAAACTCAGAGTAGTTTCTGACCTGCTCTGTTTGGAAAGCGCGGTGAGATAAATGTTGTTGTGATTTGGCGCTATTTGAATAGAATAGAATAGAATTCTTTTTCTTGCTCTGCATTTTAAAATAAAACATTTTTAAAAAGATTCTAGAGTCTTGTTCTCATTGTGTTTCCTTTTTAGTTTATGTAAGATGGTATTGATGTAAAAATGTGTCTATACAGTGTAAAAAGTCTAAGTGATGTTGAGAAAATTTACCATAGATAAATAATAAAATGATAGATAAAATGGGAAGAAAATAAGATCTTAAATTCCATGAATAACCCAGAGAGGTGAATCATATTCTTGATATATTGATATAATATTGAACAATAGAGGAAGGAGTTCCATTGAAAAAGAACAAAAATAACAGCTGGACACCATTTCTGCATTGAGTATAAGCGATTTTATGAAATGTTTATTTTAGTAACCGAGTGTACAGGTGTAAATCCATTTAATCCACATGGAGGCAGGGAACTTGAGTTGTCATTTTTTACTTATGAATAATCACCCAGCAAGTAAGTAAGTAAGTAAGTAAAGTTTATTTATATAGCACCTTTCACAGACATCAAAGGTCACAAGGTGCTTCACAGAAGTGCACAATTATACATCAAGATAAAACAACAAAATGTAATAAAAACCATAACTACATAAAACAATAAAATGTAATAAAAACCATAACTACATCGAATGCACTGGAACTGTTAAAAAGATTTGCAAAAGAGATAGGTTTTAAGTTTGCTCTTAAAAACTTCCACAGAATCAAGAGAACGTAGTGGGAGCGGGAGATCGTTCCAAAGCTTTGGCGCAACGGCCTGGAAGGAACGATCTCCTCTAGTCTTAAATACAACAACTGGCAAATACAACAGTGCCAACTGGGACGTCCCACACCAAACTGACCCCGGTGGAGCAACCCCCAATTTGACTATAGTTCCGCCCCAATATTTCCCAATATATAACACTTCTCCCCCTTTAACTGTAAACATATTATGGCACACCTTAAAAACAGTTGTACCTCTGTCTAACTTTGGATAGAACTTAAAGTGCATTGGCTGTTGCCTGACTTCAACACAAACTTTATTTGTCGTCACCATAAGGCGTTACCAGGTCAGTCTTTCTGTAGGCCTATGTGGCCTTATTGATCTCCTCGGTTCTGGTGCTTCCCCAAGCTGGGCTGGCCTGGGGGCCAACGGAGTTCCCGGGGCTGCCGGTTGGGCCAATGGCGTGCCCGGTGCATCCAGTCGGGCCAGCGGAGTGCCCGCAGCTGCTGGCTCTTCAGGTGTGACTTGGCTTCTTCTGGTTCCTGGGGCATGTCAGCTGAGCCTGCGGGGCTGAATGCACTGTTCTTCTGTGCCCCCCGTTGACACCTCTCCCCTCCTGCATCATGGCGATCACGTAGGTGATCCTGGTGCCTGCGCACCTGCTTGCCGTCCAACAAATCCACAACAAAGGACACAGGTCCTGTTTCGTGTTGAATAATTCTTGGCAGCCAGGGCGGACCCATAGAAAAGTTCTAAACATACACATGATCACCTGGCTGAAAGAGTCTGTCTTTTGCGTGATGATCCCGCCTCATCTTCTGTGTGTCCTGCCCCCGGACCACTCTCTCTGCGATGGCTGGATGAAGTAGATCGAGGTGTGACTTTGGCCTCCTCCCCCAAAGCATCTCTGCTGGAGATACCCCTGCCGTGGTGTGTGGCGTGATCCGGTACTGGAAAAGGAAACGAGAGAGATTGGTCTCCAGGGAATGTCCTGTCATTTTTCTCAATCCATCCTTCAGCGTTTCCACAGCTCTCTCAGCTAGCCCATTTGAGGCGGGGTGATAGGGGGCAGAGCAGACATGTCTGATCCCATCCTCGCTGCCAGTGTAGTAACCAAGTATAAATCCATTTAATCCACACGGAGGCAGGGGACTTGAGTTGTCATTTTTTACTTATGAATAATCACCCAGCAAATACAGCAGTGCCAACTGGGACGTTCCACACCAAACTGGCCCCCGGTGGGACAACCCCCCAGGTCCACGCCCATGAGCGCGCCCGTGGGGGCTCGCATTACCAAGTCCAGTCCGATGAGCGTGCCCGTGGGGGCTCACCTTTCCAGGTCCACGCCAATGAGCGAGCCCGTGGGGGCTCGCATTACCACCACGCCTGCCCCTACAGAACCTCACCTGTTGGTTTCCTTCCATCCCTGACCCCCTCCACCCACCCTGGTTCTGTGTTATGTCTCTTTAGGGCAGTCTGGGAGTCTTCTTTTAGGATTAAGGGACGGACGGATTAAGGGTAGTCTGGGCCCCTGGGCAAAGACTGTACAAACCATGCTACTGTGGTGTGGATTGGGAATAAATTGAAGCGGTTTGTCGCTTTACGTCTTTCCGGACAATTATAGTTAGCCTTATCGTGGCACATTAAGCCACTCGTGTCGCAACAGAGTTAAATGAAACATAGCAGAAATACTAGGTGCAGCTATATGCACACGATCTCAAACGATGTAAATTCAAAAATGCAAAGGGAATTAAATTGTTGAAACTAAGCGCAATCAGAAACACTGTCAATATGTTCAATGAAATTAACAACTTGCAAAGGTTTAGACGTGGGGTGTTAGCTGAAGTGCACCATGTAGCCTAAAATGTTATTGGAAGGTGGGCGTGCGTTAGCTTGTCAGAGAGACAAGTTGTAAAAAGTGTGCCTTAGCTTGTCAGAGAGACATGTTATGAAAGCTATGAAGCTATGAAATCTACCCTAAGGTATAACGACACACACTACCGGACGTAGTCAAAATCATATTTTCTAGAGACTTTATTGCTAACTAGTGCTGCAACGGGGGGCATATGATAAAGGAAACCATATTGTCCTACCTGAAATCATTGCGGCTGCATTAAATCTTGCTATTAGCTGTATGATCCATTTGTCTCATCACCCATACTATACTTACTATGTCTAAATCCTTGACTGTAATTGTACGTTCATTAAATTTTCTATTCACTTATTTTTGCCGTCTATACTATAAGGCAAGGAAGCATGCTATAACAGATTAAAACAAAAAAACGAATAGGCTACCTGTCGCGCTTTCGTGCCGGTGATCCAATAGAACGCATCGCGTGACAGCCTGCATGTGTCACGTTTTAAAGGAGGGGAGAGTTTTGATACATTTGGAAAATTCTAATTTGCCATGAACCTATAAATGGAGTTCCGATTAGATATATTGTCAAGACGTTTAAAACGGGAAATGATGAACAACCTGTCAATTAACCCTAACCCAGGCGTCAATAATCCATTTTCATTAACTTTTTTTCTACTCTTCCTTCTTGCGAAGTCATCCACTAATTGATCAAAATTAAGCTGTCTCACCAGGTCTGATTCAATTGCCAGAAGTGATAGGGAGTGACGATTTTGGCACATCCTAATTGTAATTCCCTCTCAAGTCGAAATCACGAAACCAAGTTGTTCTTAAAGTTACGGGTTTTTAATCACACAACTGGCTTAATAGTGTGCCATGATGCCGTGAGAACATACAAACAGAAAGGCGAATAAATACATTGTTTACGTTGAACGAAACTTCAATGAAAAACGCGACCAATGGTTACATGAGTCATCAAGTCCGTTACATTAAATATTTACAATCTTACAAGAATAACAATAACAAAACACATGTACCTCATTGGCTGCTTTCCCTTGAGAAAAAATTCAAACTCTTCGGTCCTTCAATGTACTATGCACTTATTTAAGCTTCTTTTAACGGGGCTAGCTCTTTACCGGAGGAATTGGCGAGGTGTCTGCCTGCTAGCTTGGTCCAGCATCCTACTGAACAACAGGTAGTATCTCTCAGAGGTAACACCCCGTCTACCCGCGGCAGCGAACGTTGGTTACCCCTTTAAGTAGGACGTGTTTCCATGCCAACGCAAAAAATATACAGGAAATATTTGCTTTTAATATTAAACTGTTATGTCAAATGAACATATTTGTGAACTTTATATTTTTAAGCCAATATTTCTCAACCTATTTATTTATTCTGACTTTAATGGCAGCTACACTCCCACCAAATCACTTGTGATTTTACACACCCCTACAAAACTAAGTAAACACTGGCTGATAAGAGACATTGCAAGGAAAACGTGGCAGTATCACCCGGCCTCAATCAGGGTCACCGTCTTATGGATGGGTCTCTCTAAGTACACTGGCTTCCCAATGCGTTTCCGTTCTTTATCCAAGGTGGAATCACTGATCAGCAGTTGCAGTTTCCTTACGCAACCATCTTCTGCAGGATAGATCTTTGTGACCCTTTGTGAGAAGTAATGGAGTTCGTATCTTTGGACTTGCTTGAACTCTGATGGGAAATAGCATCGCGGAATCTTGACCTCTGACAGGTTCTTCAGGTCCAGGAGCCAAGACTCCCACCGTGGTCTCAGATCGTCTGGCAGTGGATCATCCCATCCGACCTTGTCAAGGCACATTTGCTTAAGTATTTGCTTGCCGATTAGAATGAAGGGAGCAACAAAGCCTAAGGGGTCGAAGATGGAGGCTACAGTCGACAACACTCCTCTTCTAGAGAGTGGGCGTTCGTCCAACGCCCTTTGGCAGGGAGAAGAAGCAGGCAGCTTGTAAAAGTCACCACCAGAAGGCTTGATCAGCAATTAGTGTTTAAGCGCGTCAGTCGTATAGCGCCAACAAACAGTGAAGTCTGAACCGGAAGGAAAATGTGTCGTCTACCAGGTGAGGGAGGACCCTTTATATACAGACAGCGCCACAACCAATTAAAGTCAGGCACTTGTGTGGTGCGTTCAGAGCCCGCAGGGCATACTGCCACACTGAGTTGTCTGATGTGACGCACCATTTCATGCCTAGCACTCTCTCCATCTGTGGTTCTCCTAGAGCCAGGTCTTGACTTCTTGATGAATTTGCACTCTTCAGGTTGTTTGGCAGACATGCTTTGTCCTTATCAAATGGCAATGGCATTTCGCGCTGTCCATTCGCTAGTGTCTTTATGCCCTCCTCTATTTTCGTAATGAAGCGGAGATCATCCTGAGAGAAATTAGCGTCTTCCACGTTTCTGTCGCTGAAGTCGGATTCAAGCACTTTCAGCACATCTGTAAGAACGATTACTTCCTTGACTTGGCTTCTGCATATGTACTGAACTTGACCTGTTAGCTCACTAGATGACTGTAGACTTGGTGTGACTTGTTTCACAATGATTTTGTGGCTGCTTCCAATGGCATCTCCATAGTCAACACAGGGATTGACACAGCCAACGATGCTCCAGCCAAGATCGGTCCTTACTGCAAATGGCTCGTCATCCTTACCTGATATAATTTCTCTTGGACAGGGCTTGAGTCCGCTCCCAGGTTCAGTATGCTCGGTACGTGAGTGGCTCTCAGCAACAACAGGTGGGAGCTGCTCCACGTTATCAGTCTGTGCGGGGGATAAATAGGGATGTGAAAGTACACGTCTTTCAGGTCGATGGACACGAACCAATCGCCCCGCCGTACAAAGCGTAGCAGAGCCATGTCCGTCAGCATCCTGAATTTGTACCGTCTCAGGTATCTGTTCAGTGCGCGCAGGTCTAATATGGGACGCAGGCCACCACCTTTCTTTGGGACCAAGAAGTACCTCGAATAGAAACCGTTTTGTCTCTCTTCTGAAGGTACTATCTGGACAGCTCCTTCGTTTAGCAGGGAGTTTATCTCTTCCTGCAATATGCAAGCTTTGTCCCATTGCGCCCGTGATTCCAGGACTCTGGTGAATCTGGTTGGTGTGGACTCGAACTGGAGCCTGTAACCCTTGGTTAAGGTTTTTAATACCCAATCAGATGTCACACACGCACCACTGCTGGGCCCGCTCCGCCAGTCGACCCAACAGTGGTCCAGCTGACGTGCGGGGCCACACAGCGAGTGGCGCGGCCGCGGCACATGCCGGAGCTCCGGCGGACTGATATGTTGCGCAACGAGTGGGGTTATGACTCCCCCTCGTGGCGCTATGCGGGGCTTTGCAGCCGCGTTTGGTTTCTGTTTTATTTTTGTTTTCATTAATGATCCAGTCTGCGCCCTTGGTTCTGGACCTGGATGCGCAGTGGATAACAACTTTATTAATGAAAAGGGGGGGGAGGGTGTGTTGCGGGGTACTGGTGTGTGCCCTTGTAACACAGGGTCTCTGCAGGGCTCTCTGCAGGACCGACCTTCCTCAACTTCGGGTCGCTGTGGACCGCGAGCGCCGGGGCGGCGTCTGCGCGTCTCTTCAGGAGCCTGGAACTCGGCCTCTCTGAACTGGGCCGGAACAGAAACTTTTCTAGAGGGGGAATGGCGGGAGTCTGGCTGGGCCCAGCATCCCCCCTCTGTGGGCAGCGTCCTAGGTGGCTCACCGTTTTTTCTTGCCCCCGTGAGTGGCTCCAGTGGTCAACTGGGTCCCCTGCGTCAAACGGCTTCTTGGCCCATGAGCCTTTCGGCTCCGGCGGTTTGCTCTGGGCTGCCACCTGAGCTTGAGGCTGACGCCTAGGGATGCGGTAACCCAGCCGGGTCACACCCTGGGCGAACGTCTGCCTGGGAGCTGCAGGAGGAGGGGGTGGCATCTTTCTGAGCAGGCACAGTTGGAGTGCTTCCCCCTCCTTTTTCTTTTCCTGACACCGTCTTTGCATGGTGGCCACAGCCGGTCCAAAGAGGCCCTTCGAGTCCACAGGGACGTCAAGGAGTTGGGCCTTCTCTTTTTGGGACAGGCTGGAGAAATTAGCCACCTGCTCTCTCCTGCGCGACCATCAGGGCCATGGCTCTCCCTGAAGCTTGGACCGCGCACCTGTGCAGGCGTAAGCAGAGGTCAGTGACCACGCAAACTTCATCCCACACAGCCGAAGAGGGTGAGGCTGTCATCTCCTCCTGCAGCTCAGCCTGGTAGGCAAGCAGGAGAGAAGATGCATTTAGGGCCCTCACTGACATGGCTACATATTTGTAGCCTTTTTCAGTCAGTGAGGACTGGAAACACTCAGCTTTTGATGGCAGAGTGGGGCCTGCCGCAGTCATGGCGGACTTCTGGCCGGGGTGGAGGTGGGATGCCAGGAGGGGCTCGACTGGTGGGAGGTGGGAGAAGCCATTCTCCTCCATGCCCACCCAATCCAGCGGCAACCTCCCTGTGTGGAGCTCTTCGCCGTGAGTGGGTTGCTCCACGTGCGAGTCGCTTCCTCCAGGCACTCAGGGAACACCGGCAGGAG